GGGGGGGGGAAACGGGAGAGAGGAGCACAGAATAACGACTCGTCTGAATGCGGTGGCCATTTTTATTGTGCGCAGTGCGATATGCGCGCTTACATTACAACTAACTAACCCCATTTGTGACTTCGTTGTTTTCTTTCTCTCTTGTGCCATATACATAGTTGTCCAGCTTATATTCGTTGGTAGTTGTGGTTTTTGTTATTCTAGTCTGAGCGCGTCCCTGCAAATGCGAAGAGTTCATAGTACACCGCCGAAATACGCAGACAATTATGAGACTTGCAGAATTGTAGACTAGCAGAATAAAATCAAATCTCATGATTTATTTTTCACCCCAAAAAAGCGATAAAACTATCGTATGTCTCGTTTCGTGTTCTAAATCAGTTTTTTGGTTTCGCAGGTCAAGGTGTGGTTCCAAAACAGGAGGACCAAGCACAAACGGACAGAGCAGGAGGAAGAAGCCAAGAGGTCCTCGTCGAAGCGGCCCTCAGAGCAGCGGCCCGGCGGCGTGACCTCGGACAGCCCGGTCTCACCCAGCGTCACCCCGCCCCTGTCCCCCGAGTCCATGGACGAGCACATCGACCCGGACGACGACGGCCCGGACTAGTAGCCTGCGAACCGCCCCCGCTCAAGCACACCGTCAGGCACGTCACCGAGCAAGTGCAACGACTATGACTATGTGCAGTGATATTGTTTTCTTTTTGTTTTTGGACTTGGGTGTCGCCAAGCTAATAGGCTGCTATTTTTGCAGCAACATTGTTACCAAACGTGTGCGAAGAGATCCTCCCTGACGTGCAAGGGATCTGTGATAGTGCTACCGTGTGAAGAGCTCGGCTCTTCAACGAGCACTTTCTTTTTATTTGTTTAGGAAATGAATCAACTACCGTCTTGCGTGCATGTACCAGGCCACATTTCTTGTTTTCTGAAACAGAGTTCCTCAGAGAGGTGGTATAAAAGCCACTCGATTGTTAAGACTGCCTTAAATGCTACTTATTTATTGCCATAGCAACATTTTTACGTCCTTTCCTGTAAAACCAGTGGCTGTTGCCCTTCTCACGAATATAGAGGCATATGACAGAAATAGAAGTTGGGTATATTTTGTGGCGGTATTCGCCGTATGGAATAGATAGTGACGGGCGCGGCCACTGCTCGATCTCTCTGTAATGTAATACTTTGTCTCCAGTTGAAATGCTTTTGCGTCAATGTCCGTGCCGAACAAACCGTTTTGCGCGACTATATCATAAAAAAGTGAGTGCAATTTTGTTTTATGTCACGCGTGTTTTAGTCAATTTTACACAAGAGTGTAATAACTGTAAGTATAAAATTATGTACAAATGTGAATAAGTTATAGGTTTTATTTGCATAAAGTTTATCGATACGATATATTGAACGGTTCAAATACATTGTGCTAATTACCAAACTGCGAGTTGCCTGCTCCATCTACCCCGCTCGATAAATCATGGCAAGTACCCGGCCCATGAATCAGCCGCACTTACGGCGAGTAACCACGAGTAAACACTATCCCGGGGATGGATAAACCAGGGCTATTCAATTTCCATGGCCCCGCGCAGCGATACAAGGGAGGCGAGATGGACAGAAAGAGAGAGGAAAAGAGGGAAGAACAACACCTTATCCCCGCTACTTACGTATGCACTAATCTGTTGGGGATAATTTGAAAGCAAAGCATTACGGCCTAAATTGCTGGTAATCACTGCTTCCATTGAGCGGCACGCTGACGTGTTCGGCCCCTCCCCCTGGACCGCGCCGTGGCGTAGCGTGGCGTGGACCGGTTCGTCTCTGCCCGCAGGAGGTTACTCGCGTTTTCACCACGAAAAAGCCAACCGCCCCAGTGTGTAAGTGGACGTAAAAAATAGGAATTTGTGGTCGCTTCCTCACGCTCTAAAGAGGTATTGGGGTGGACATGAGGGCCATAAGTAGAGAGAAGTTTGCGTTCAATGAGTATGCAGATGAAGAGAGGGGGTGAGGTTTTCGAATCGTATAAATAAGTCACAGCCTCAAGAAAATAATTCTTTCCCCGACAAGCGAACTACTTGATTTGCCTCTGGAAGTCAAAAGAGGGGCTCTACTGTAAGCTCCGATTTAAAATCATGAGTCACATCGACACACACACACGCACACATACAAACTCACAGAGGGCCGCGGGGACGGGTATAAATCACATTTAATCAGGGCTTGTGTTTTTAATCTGCCGGGTTCCCGAAGGCCGTAACTCTCTGGGCGCGAGCAATTGTTCACATTTCCGAGGCGTTCTTTTTCTCCCGCCCGCTCGGCCCGGCCGGCCGCGAGCGGCGAGGCAATGGTCGTTAATCGAGTATCATTAATACTGTATCAAGATGCCCGCCAGGGGCCGATACCTCGCCCTCTCGCACTGCGGACGCACCGATCAGCACCGAAAAACTGGAGCGGCCAGCCAGAGCAGCGAGCACAGTCGATCAAATAATATCTCTCACTGCTCCTCGCTTCGGGCAATTCCAACGGTAAAGGGACAATTTTATCGGGTACGAAAGGATGCAGTTTACACGTTGTGTTGTGGCATCTCTGGTGTTGGCGAGGCCTGATGGACAAGAACGGGAAAACTATTCATTTTTGAAAAACGTAAAATCGAATCACAAAACGTTTTGTGCTTATTGGGAGAGGGGGGGGGGGTGCTGTGGGGTGCAAAACATACAACTGTGGAACGGGGAAATTCAGGCACTGTACATACGTAGTGCTGGATCTTGTCGTGGGAAGTAGAATGGTCCGAGCCTAGGGCGGGACTTCACACCCGGCCCAACCACGCCAGGCCGTGCCACGCCACAGGCTGTCCCGATCGGGATCATCGGCAACCATCATCTCTCCCCGACTCGAAACGAAGAAGAAATGTTATCCCACATCGAGCTGGCTTCTGCAGCCCGGCAGCCGCTCCACTCCACAGGAGCACCGAGGTGCTCGGGGCCTCCTGCCGCGCCCTTGGCGGGTGGCGAGGAGGGAAGTGCCTACGACTTGGCAACCTTGATCATTACGTATGGATCAACTGAAAGGCCAGGACTAGATGGTCACTACAAACTAAGATACTATTTATAATTTGGCTTTATAAGTAAATGGACCCAAACCAAAGAGTCACTGAAAATGTCAAGCGCGTCGCTCTTCAGAGAGCGGCGTATTTCCAATTAATTTTCTGCTGGGAGAGCGAGAGCTTTATGTAGCTCTATGTATGTGAAGATTTTGGAACGCTTCTAGGTTTGAGTGATAATTTTGAAACGTTGCTTTGTTCAAATAAAGATTGTCGCTGAAAGGAGCGGTATAATAACCCACACTCCCGATGTTTTCCGCAATCATCAGATAGAGCGAATTTCCAGAGGTAGCCTAGAAGGAGAGCCGGCTCTCGAGACTCAAGAACGTCAATTTCTTTCAGTTACCACAAAATTGCCACAGCAAACGTTTTTTTAAAAAATGCTCATATAGCTGTTGCAAGTAGCTTATTCGGTTGCCTAACATCAGCGTATTATGTTTGCAGCAAGATTTCTTTATTTCTCTTTTCTAGCGGCTTTTTAGCGTAATTTTCCGGAACAAGGACGCACAAGTTTGCACATCTCTCGAGGTACGTAGTCGCACCGCAAAATTCTCCTATGGTCGCGCTTTTATTCCAGTGTACATCGCCACAGGCCGAGGCCCTCCTGACACGGCCCGTGTTTATGTCAAGTCGTGTACGAACCCCTGTACTTTGTATCCGAAGAGCGACACGCCCCCCGAGCGCGGCGCACAGGCAGGCGCAGCCGGTGCGGCCGGCGCAGCCACGGTCCGGCTGAGCAGCCTGGCTGAGCAGCGCCGCCGAGCGCCGCTCAGCAGAGCGAATTAGGTCCGCTTATCACACCAACAGCTTGTAAATGTTCCCCGGGAGGCGTGGCCGGGGCGTGGCGGAGCGCGGCTGCGGGCGGCGCCTCGTGGCGCTCTTGTGTGAACAGCAAGGAGAGTCAGCCCTTCCACCGCGCCCCTCTCGATGCCCAACAACTAAGAATCTTCCAGCATCGCGTTTGCACATTGCAGGTTTTGAAAAGGGGCAAAGCGAGGTTCTAGTTGAAACTATAGTAGCAAACTTGTGAGCTCGCGCCGATTCAGGAGGGCGGGTGGGCTTGCACACCGTCGTGGCGGCGCCTTCTGGCCCCGTGGGAGTATTCAACCCACCCGCATGCCTAAATCTGGTACAGTATGTAGAGCAGAAAAAAAGATGACGGCGGAAATCAACCACCCTGTATCTTCGGCGTTCAAGGGCAAGAACAGTGTCGAATCCTTGCAGACACTAAACTGCAAATTTGAGCATTTTTAAGTGTTGAGCTGAATAGTTTATACAGTTAAAAGAATTGTAACACGGAGGAGGCGGTTGACTTTCCAGTCTAACACTTGATCCACTTTGAAACACTTGACAAATAATGCCCGTTGGACGTTAGTAAACACTTGCAAAGCTTTGGTGGAGGTGGAAGAAGCAGGCAAATCCACAACACGTACTTCGGCGCGTGCACTGATACACATATGATACCTGATTATTATCACAGGGCACCGCACTAATGAGGCGCAACTAATTTACAATTTTATTCCCCTTTTAGCCGCATTTTCTCGGCCCACTAAAGTGTTTGATCAGGAGCCCGTCCAGCCCGTCCCTCGAAGCGGAGGAGGAATAACAAGTACTACCTGATGGGGTCGCCTCTGCGTTAGCACGCCGCCAACCCATACTCGGAGAGTGTAAAGAACAATTTTAGGTCCAGCGCACATCTCAAACGGATGCACATTTGTCTCTTTCACTTGTACCTAGGCTAACTTAAGTGTAAATAATTGTGTACCTAGCATACACAAAATTTGCACCCGATTAAGATGTGCTTGAGACGGCATCTCGGTTGGACCAAAAATTGTCCTTTCTGATTTGGTGTGATGGCCGACTCAAAGTTTGACCCCAGAACACAAATAACGTTTAGGACAGGGAGCGCGTGACGATTTGGAATAAACACGGTCTTTTGATTCTATTCCTTTGAAGTTATTACGCAATTTGGCATCGGGCGAATCCTTTTGCAGCACTATAGTGCGCTGCGCGCCGGGCGAATCACAGATGTAGTGTAGGAGGGAACGCCCCGGCGGCGGCGGCGCGGCGCTAAACGAAAACCCCACCCCGCCTCCTTTTGCTTAATTAACGGGCGGCTCATTTCACAAGTTTTGTGGTTTTTTGTTTCTGATGTTTTATTTTCCATCCGAAAAGGGTAAACGAGGGAACACGACGCTGAGTGTGTGTACAAGGATGCGTAATAAATAAAAAGCCAAGCGACGATTGGGAATTAAGAGCAGCAGCAAACGCAAGAGAACTTAATTTTCTCTCGCCGCGTTAAAACATGTTTTACTAATCACTTACAATGTGAAGGGAAGAGAGAATAATATAATTAAAAGTAAAGACCACTCGTTTTGCCAGCAGCTATGCCACATAGATCTTAAAAATTAGATTATCTTAGTGCGCAGATGGAAACCTTAGTTCTCGGATGGAAGACGGTTGTGAAAATACATCCAATAAGACAATAAACTTCCATTTAATTATTTGTTGTTTTTGTTTTTTGCATGGGTCCCCTTTGTTTTATTAGATCGCAAAATGACAAAATTTATAAATGTGTTTCATTTAATAATCAGTTTCAAACACTAAACGAAACCAAAGCTCGCAACGTCGTGACTTTTACATGAATCGGAATACGGTTCTATGTGCTGTTGCTGACTCCTTACTTTCGTTCAACACACACAGACGCTGCAACACACACACACACACGCACGCATACTCACCATCAGCTAATGACCCCTAATGACCACTGATGACAGGACCGCCATATTAAATGAAATCGACTCACTCGCCTAATTGGACCGTTGCGTGTGCTATCACCTGAGGAGACCCCTGCAGGAGAAAGAGAAGGGGAGAGGGAGAGAGATGGAGAGACGACGGGAGGGGAAGACGCCTGCCTCCAGGCACCACGCCACGCCGCCGTGGCCGCTTAAACCCACTTTTCTTAACTCGTCCATCAGTCGCCGAGTCAACAAGGCCCGGGCCGCGAAGGAAGCTGGCCCGGCTGGACCACGGCCCGGTCCTCACCTGCGAGACAACGAGGTGCTAACAAGTGTCCGCGCGCGGCCGGCGCAACCAGAACAGGCGGGCTAATTTTAACGGCAACGCCGCCGATTCGTCGCCACCTTAAAGGTACGGGGGGGACCAACGGCAAAAAGTTATGTGCAGGAAATGTACTTAAATAAGATAGGTACAGACACATTAGTGTATGTTAGTTTGCACGGTTTGCACCTACCATTCCAACCAAAATAGCCCCTGGAGTAGCGACTGCCGTGTCGTAGCCCTCTCAATAAAAGGTACATATATGAGGTAGTACGACCTCTGGTACA